CTTCCTCTATCTCTTCTTCCTTCAACATTCATTTCTATAACTGTTCTTACAGCTTTCGATTCTTCTTTCCTCATACCATGACTAAACAATCTAAGTCTATTTTCTGTCATCTTATCCACGATTGACGCAACACCTATACTTCCTCTTATATGCTCGTTCCTTATCCTATCTTCTCTAGTCACTCCACTCATCCAACTAAGCATTCTCATCTCTGCTACACTTATTCTCTGCTCTACTTTCTTATCAACCGCCCAACACTATGAACCATACATCATAGCTGTCCTCACAATTACATACTAAATTTAAATACTATAATTAGTATTTATTCATATATTATATTTTAAAATCAAAGAACTACAAATCAGGATATAATTAAAGAAATAAGAGTTCATGTTGCTTTTAAAATATTTCACCAATTTCTCTAAAGGAAACACTATCTACAGATTTGCATCGAAGCGTTTCTTATGATAGTGATTTTAATCACTGTCAGATATCATCTATACTTGTATATCATATACTTGTCCCATCTATGCCTCGTCCACACTGTGCCTCGACCCCACTGTGCTATCGTTTTTTTTTTTATAAATCTGACCCTTTACCTACCTACAGAGGGGGAATCAATATGACAACTTTTTCAATTTGAATTTTGAAAGTGTTCCGGAAGGTCTGACACTTTTATATATATCTTAAATTATAGCTAATGTAATGTTCTTTATTATGCAAAAAAAAATTTCGGACTTTATTTTATCTTCAGGTTTTTATAAATAATAAATATTTATAAAAATTACATTTATTTAATGTATTTAAAATAATATTAAAAATGGCTTATAAACTTCAAATTCAATTACATTGTTAAAAATTATTAATGATAACGCTGATATTCACTTGTATAATGATAAAAAGTAAAAGACGAAATTGATAATTATTTATTTATAAGTATAAGACATTTTCTCAGAAACTATTGAATATTTCCATGTTTCGTTAAGGTAAATCTTGTTTGATTAAAAAAATATTTTTTTTCATCACATTAGGGATTAATATAATAATACGTATATTTAATTGTCTTATATTAGAATACATATTTTTGGTTTGAGTGTATGATAGAAAAAATGTTCAAAAATTTTTATTGTAATAATTATTTTTATTTCAAAAACGATATCAACTCCTATTTCCATACTTTATATTGGTTAATATTTTTTAGCTTCGATGCGAAGCTGAGAAGGTATTAATTTTACTATGATGTGTTTTTTTTGTTTTTT